CCTGCTGTAACGACTGGCAGTCTTAATTCAGCCCCAGAGTCCAGGAAGGACATCACAACATCCTTCTTGGAGTTTTCCAGAAGCGTCAGCTCCAATCAGCTCCATCTGCATAGACTTGGGCAGGAGCCGCAAACAGCTGGGGGCGAGGAAAGCTCGAAGTAGACACAAGTTTTACAGATAGCAATACATTCTTTGTCAGGCTGAAGTCTATGCTATCGTCACAAAATACAAGTTATTCGCACCTGAAAGGCAGTAGAGGATAAGCAGTGAAAAATCAAAATGTTCTCAGAACCTAAATTTTGTTAAGTAAGAATCAATAAATCATACTGCTTACGTGTGAACACAGCAAATCACACTGGAGCCAGACAGCTGGACTCCTAAAGGCACACACAGCATTTACAGAGATTTTTCAGAGAAACATGGTAATTTAATTCCCTCAAGCCTACAGCAGGAAGTGTCTACATGCTTCTGAAAGCCTCAGGTGGCACCTTCAGGAATCTACCCCTAAAAACTTCACGTCCAGAGGACACCTACCATTAGCCTTTCAGCCATAGCTTAATCTTGAAGATCCCTGCTTCTTGAATGCTGATTTACTTCCACTACATGATACCAAAATTCTGTACTAACAAGATCAGTTACGCCAGCCTTCAAATCACAGCAGTTGTCAAAACCATGTCGGTTCATTCTGCATTTCAACACAAAGCATGTAGAAGGATAATGTTTAAACTGATGCAAGACAGACCAATATCTAAGTAACAATCTACTGTATCCACACCAGGACGCAAACTGGAATAGTACTGTGGGAGCCTTCAGAACCGACTACTGACATTTATGTATTTATAATGCCTCAGAAAGCACCACTCCAAACTTAAATTGCATGGTTTTGCAAATCTGTCACCAAAAATTTCTATGTAGTATTATGGCACAGACAGCGGAAGTGGCAAATAAGCACACAAAGAAGGACAAGCGCTACGAGCCTAAGCAGCAGTGACTTCAGAAGAAAGCTTAAAACGCATCCATGAGAGAAGGAAAACAAATTCATAGGTGTGAAAAGTGCTTTATAATCCAGTGAGCTCTGAAGGAGCAAAGGCTGACTGTACAGGGAGGCACACAAGATGGCAATGGCAACTTGATCTAAATGGAAGAAGAGAAGATGCAAAGAAAGTGTATAATGACCCAGCATGTTGAAAACCTATGACAGAGAATAATCCTGTGCTCATAAGCTGGGAAACAGATGATGGCTCTGGGGAGACTGTACGGCAGCCTTCCAGTTCCTGAAGGGGGCCTACAGGAGAGCTGGGAAGGGACTCTTTATGAGGGAATGTGATAACAGGGGAAATGGTTTTAAACTGCAAGGGGGTAGATTTAGACTGGATATTAGGAAGAAATTCCTGACTGTGAGGGTGGAGAGACACTGGCCCAGGTTGCCCAGGGAAGCTGGGGGTGCCCCCTCCCTGGCAGGTTTCAAGGCCAGGTTGGATGGGGCTTGGAGCAGCCTGGGCTGGTGGAGGTGTCCCTGCCCATGGCAGGGGTTGGACTGGGGGAGCTTTAAGGTCCCTTCCAACCCAGGCCAGTCTGTGATTCTATGACCTAATACACAGACATATTTTCAGATTCTAAAACCCACAAACATGATCTTTCTGTATTTTGGGGAGGAATTTATTTTTTTTCTACTAGACTATAAACTTGCACATTCTTGCTCACTAGAGCATACCACTGTACCTCAGTGTGTATCTTTTCAGAACAGACAAAGTAAAAGCAGCCTCAGAAATCCCAGTTTTACTGTGACAGGGAGTGCCGCCACCTGGACAATCAAATCCCTTTTGCAGCATTTGGGCCAACTGGACCCCGAGTCCCAGAAGCTCTAACAAGAGAGGAGGAAGGTGAATGCCAGACACCTGAGCATCAAACATACTGAAAACTGCTCAAAGCAAGCAGCTGCCAATGAACTAAGCCAAGCTCCCTTTTCTGGGCATCTTCCAGCCTGCGATGCTGGGTTCTGGTCTGTAAGATTCAGTATTAAGCTCTGGACTCTGCCCACTGGCCTTGAGTGCGCTGCCAGGGTACAGAACATTTTGCCCAGTATACCCTCCTAACACACTGGTTTGGTACTGACACTTGAGATTCCTCTGTAGTTTGAACACCCCTTCTCTCAACACTCCTTGGAGTGACCTGGGGTGCTCATCAAACCACAGAAAGGAAGAAGTAGCCCATCCTCAAAAATAACAGCTTTTGGCATCCCAAAGGGAACGTGGGGGATTTAAACAGCTCCTTAGGACCAATGCAGAAGCACTACCCTGAACCTAAGTTTTCAGCAAGCACATACATACATGTGTAGAATAATTTTTTGTTTCAGTGGATCTGCATTTCTCTGAGTGGATTTAACCCCAGAATCCTTAACCAAAACCAACTGATTTCTTTAAACAAAATAAAAATTAAAAAAAAAATACATCAGTCATTGACCTTTACTGCCTCAATAGTTGTGTGAAGCTTTGAGATTACATCAGCCAATATTTTGTAGAGATAGATTACATGAACACAGGCATTTGTTGAACAAATGTGTTTTTAGGGACATTTGTAAATGTGGAAACAAACATCGCATACTATCTTCTCCTGAGTGATGAATGAGGGCACTTTCCAGGCAGAAATTCAGAAAGATTGTCAACACTGTTTTGTCACACAAGCTAACGCTCTAATCATACAAATATGCAAGGAAACAAAAGAAAAGTGCAACAGGCATCATTTCCATAACTAATTCAATTTCTACCTCTCCCCATCCATATCCTGGTCCTTTTCTTCTGGTCTTAGAAAGTACCCAATTCTGAACATCTGGAACAGTTTTGAAAAGAACAAGCTATACCCCTTTATATTGAGCCAAGAAAAGCATAATATTGGAAAAAAAAACCCAAGAGTATTCTATTTTGGATCCATCCATCTGAACCCAGTTACACTTCTCTGTCACATTAATGGTACTTTAAAGAACAGCCAAATTGACTTAGTGAAGTCAGAGACGTGTCCATCAACCCGGCTGGCTTTCTCCCAAGACCTAGGAATCCCATTAACATTTCCATTTCTAAAGGAGGGCTGCGAGACAGCCCACTAATGAAAAACTGAGTCACGAAGAATCCAGACAGGTATAACGAGAGAAGATGCACGCTAACAAACCACAGTTTGCACTGGTCTTACAGGTGGGTGTTTATGTTCTCCTTTTATATACATAGATCAAAAATAAGAGGAAACAACAGTATTCACTGCCTTTAGTGCACTCCTGGATGATCCATTTCCAGTCCAGACACATTTTGTTATCAAAGCTCAAAAAAAATAGTGCTCAAATTTGTTAAAGGTGCCAAGTCACCATATATAATAGGTAGGCACACATTCAAGCCCACGGCTCCCAAAGCTGCAGAGGAAGTTTAGAACAAATACAAGGAGAAATAACTGGGCTCTCTTCAGCAACTGAAGAAAATTCATATTAAGATGTAGGTTGGAAGGGACTTCTGGAGGTATCTGGCCTAATGCCCTGATCCAGGCAGGGTCAACTCTGAATTTGGATCAGGTTGTCTGGATATAGAACCTGACCAAAGAACAAGGCTTCACAAACTCTTTAGGCAACCTGCTCCAAGGAAACGGATGAGGAAAGCAGAAACAGTGGGAGACACCAAGCAGACCTCTGCTACATTTTTACAGCTTTTGACAAATACCTGTATTAAATTTTCTTTGTTGTATATCTGACTTCACCACTTCTTCCCCTCTCATATTATATTCATGTGGCATACAGACTCGGATGCTCAGCTAAGAAATAAGATCTCCGGGGAAAAGCAGCAGCATGCCAACACTTACGAGGACTTCAGATACAATTGGGAGCAGAGCGACTACTTCATGACAACGCGTAAGGGAGGCAAAACTACAGCTATGAAATTCTGTAAGTCAGTTCTGGGAAGCTGAACTCTTCTGCCTCTATTTCCTTCTCACAGAAGCAAAAAATACAGAAGCACAGAAGAGCCTCACAATATACCTATGTCCTCCCTAATACGGCCCTGTCTCTAGAGATGCGCTATTACACGACGTTTCAGAGCCAGTCTACACATGACTGAAGAGCAAAGAACCTGTGGAAGGCAGAGATAGGAAGGCTGCTTTAGGAAGTGATAAGCACTAACAACTGCCTTTCACAATCAGCCTCGCATCATTGCTACCTGACTGCAAGTGATCTCAGTCTCCAGAGAGGCTTTTTATTTCCACTTTATGGCACACGAGCCTGAGATGCAGGCTCAAACTTTCTCAGAGGAAGGGATGCTGACAGCCTGTGTGCTGTGCAAATGCAGATAAAGGCTCGAGGCAAGGGATGGTCTGCACATATTTACCAGCTGGAAAGAACCAGAAAAAGGGGTAGTTCGTGACTTTCAGGGGACTTCAGTTTTAAACAGATGTGGAGCTGATCTGCACTTCAGCATCTACTGAAATTTCTCAGCAGAAACCAAGACGCTCTGAGACTAGGGGAGCTACATGGTTAAGGGATGATTTTTTAAATACTACTGACATCTACCTTCTGGACTTGAACCCACAAACATATGGAAACCCTCCAGACTTCCTTTAGTTTAACACTCACACCACATTTTACTTGTATACACTCTGTTAATATTCACACTTCTCTGTTCCACCCATCATAATGTGAGCCTACCTTTACTTGCAGAACAGTAATCTAAAGCCACCCGTTTGGCAGCCTACCCACCAACTTCGTTTTAGCACAAATATGCGCACATGCAGTTACTTCCTTCTCTTGCTGCATGCCTACTGACTACATGCTAAATAGGAAACACATTAATAGCAATTCTACAGAATTATCTCCTGGAAGTGCTTGGGACACAGATTATTTGAAACAAAGACAGACGACACCCTTTAGTAAGAACGGAGCAGAAGAGGATGGTGCTGAGCCAGTGCAATGCCAGCACTGTCACCGCAGAACAAACATGCAACTTAACAGCCTAGATTTGCTGTTCCAGTTTTCACTCACTCTTGATGTGGTGCTCCTGTCTTCGTCAGCAAGGTCAGGACAAAAAACATGAAGATGACAAAAACTGCAAGACCAACCCAAAATCCAATCACGATGGAATCTGGTGAAAAAGAGAAAACAAGATGATCAGTATCGCACCTGCACTTGCAGAAAGCTCCCTTCCACGTGCAGCATGGCTGCAAATCCCAAAAGACTTTGCGTCTTACTCCTGGCTGGCAAAGAGGAAGGATGGTCAGATTTATCTTTATCTACTTGTAACAGAAAGCTGCCACAGAAGCTCTCATTTCTAGCCCAAATTTTACTGATGTCTGGACAAACCAGAAACAAGCTGGAAGAGGGAAGACACTGAATTCTCTTGGTTAGTAAAATAACAGCAGCTCCCTTTGTGATGCCTGGCCCATGTCCAAGCATTGCTTTGGAAACAGCTTCAGCGCTAGAACTCAGAGGAAAGGATTTATTTCATTTTCAGCAAAAATGTCTATTCCCTGAAAAACTGAACTCTTGCTATTTTACATTATTTCTGCCTAAGACTATTCGGTTTCTGGGTTTTGACGGATTTATTTGACACAATAGGTTTAGGAAGATCTAACTGTCTTTCAGTGGTAAGGTAGGGGGTTCCAAAATATTTGGAACTATTTGCTACCTCAACAGATAACAATAACCAACACACGCAAGATGTTTTGAGTAGTTTTTAATTTGGGCTTCCAATTTGCATGCAGAAGACTGCAATACGATGTCAGAGGAGCCAAATAGACTTGAACAAAAATGTCAAACCAACAGTAAATTACAAGGAGAACACCAATGCAATAGCCAAATATAGAAGCAATTGGGAAGAGCACGGCTTTTTGCCTGTGTGCATAAAAGGCACCTACTGTTCTCATTTACAGCAAATGGACCGACAGATAAAATGCCAGTCCTACTTAAAGCAAATCTGTGTCTATTTATGACTTCAAAGTTGATCCACAGCTGCTCTTGAAAAAAGCTCAAAGCTTCCAGGAACCTGATTAAGAGAGGTACAAGTGGGACAAACATATTCCAGACAGCAATCAATTGCTAAGCACGGCCCAAAGGCACAAGAGCACCAATCCACAATATGACCTGGTCCAGGATCTACAGTATACAGGTGCTTTTTCACCTATCATTTCAGTTAGTTATTTTTTGTTTATGCAAATATTCAAAACTTCCACTGTAAAAGTTCAAATAATTCACACACAAACGTGCAAGAGTGAACTTCTGGTCAGGACAGGTATTCATCCTCCATCTCTCATTGCACAGCCGCTACTGAGCCTCGCTGGCTGTACAGCTCTGTGATGATCTGCCTGACCCAGAGCAGCAGGCACAGCACACAGCTTCAGCCACCACATAGGGTTTCCTACAGGACTGACTAAAGAGACCAGAAAACAAGGAATCAGCTTCCTGCCTGGTGCTTGACCCCAGTGGTTAATCACACTCCCGCTGTGAAATATCTTCCACGTTAAAAGGTAGACCTGGAAACTGGAAATCAATTCAAACCATTTCCTTCCTCTCTCTGCAAAGTCTAAGTGCCTGCTGCAACTTGGTATTTTCTCCCTGGGAAAACACTTCATCACAATCAAGTCACTCCTTAATTCCTTTTTCTGCTACGCTAAAGAGGTTAAGTTTTAGGTCTCACACTGCAAGGTTTCTTCCGTCTCACCAGTGCCACATCACCCCCTCTCAACACCCTTTGTAAAATAACTACAGGGTGGTTTGAGTACAGGTCTCCATGACTGGGGGAGAGGAGCTTGTAATACTCCTTTTTTGCTTGAAGCATACTGGTACGAGTTTATTTCTGTAATTCCATGCATTATGAGCCTTAAACTATTTTCAGAATCATTCAGTAAGTATAGCCTGTATTCAGTGGTTCAAGATGCATCCTGTGTTGGGCCTCACTCATAAAGCAATAGCTCATGATTATTTACCATCTTACTGGACTTTGTATTACCTGGAAATTTCATCTAAAAAGAAATAATTCCATTTAAAAAATTACCACTGAACCATTTACAGCTA